TCTCTCTCTCTCTCTCTCTCTCTCTCTCTCTCTCTCTCTCTCTCTCTCTCTCTCTCTCTCACTAACGCACTCGCCGTGGCGCGCGTCGGGGGGGTGTTGGGTGGCGTAGGCTGGGCCGGCACGATGGCGTTCTTCGGCGGGCGTCGGGGGGGGGAGGGGCGTCGACTTCGTTGGCGGGCGCTGGCTTCGACGACGAACGCTGGCTTCTACGCTGGCGTCGACTTCGTTGGCGGGAAATAAGATCCAGCAGACCAAAAAAAAGGGCCGGTAGGCCCCATTTGAACGAGTTTGAATTCCGCCCATCTGGGCCGTCGATCATGAGGATCAACGGCCGAGATGAGCGGGCATTTGAACTCGTTCAAACGGGGCCTACCGGCCCTTTTTTTTTTTTTTATCACATCCACAGCTTCCTTGGGGGGGGAGAAGGCCCCCGCGAAGAACACCCCCCCCCCCCTCTATGATGCGCTGGGGTCGCCCGGTGGCCAACCGGGCGGGACGACCGGCCAGGCGGCCCGGCCCCCCGCCCGGGCGACGAGCCGGGCACCAGGCGGCCCGGAGTGCAGCCTAGAAAATACATGAAATTTCAAATTTCAAATTTGACCTCCAAACCCTAACTTCAGTTTTCAACCCGTTAACCAAGGAGCTGAAAGTGGTGGTCCCTGTTAACCACTTGTGCTGTGCGGTCTCAAGTCAATGGAATGTCTCCTTGTTCCCCTTGTGTTCTTCTTTACCCCTTTTAAATCACCAGTTCATCTGAAGCTAAACTGACGAACCAAAAAATGCATTTCGCCGAGCCTAAAGGTGACCGTTACTGGCCTCTGGAAAAATGGGGATGGTATTGGTACCTGCCGTTGTAAGGTGGAATGAAAAGTTTGGACCGTCTGCCGCCAGGTGGAATGAAAACAGGCCTCTTTATTATTGTTTCCCGCGTCTGCACAACTACTACTACTACTACTACTACTACAACTACTACTACTATTACTACTACTACTACTGCTGCTGCTGCTACTACTACTGCTAGTACTAGTAATACTACTGCTACGACTACTACTACCACCACCACCACCACCACCACCACCACCGCTGCCAACACCACTGCTACTACAACCACTACTACCACCACTACCACTACCAAGTAGTACCAACACTACTACTACTACCACTGCTGCTACGACTACTACTGTTGTGGAAGGAGATGATCAACACAGGGGGGAGCTGCAGGTTTTCTGTACTTTTCGCAGGGAATATGAGTGAGAGCGATAGACAGAAATCCAAATTGCAAAACCACGAAGTAGCCCAGATGGTCGTACACCAAGCGGAAAGCACAATGCACCGAGATACAACCAATAGGAGCAATACAATGGACTCAAATGTCGATGTCGACACTCTCTCGCCACATCAAAGTAGTATCCAGTGTCGCTCTTCCTGATTGGGGCTCAGCGCCCAGCCTATCCTACTCAGCCTACGCTAGCCTACACTACGTTCATGCAACAGGATTCACTTTGATGCTGAAGACCAATATACGTGACGCCCATGTGGACTGCCAGCATACAGCAGGTACGTATCTCTCTTTCTCTCGCCTCACCCCTCGACTTGGACTGCCAGCATACAGCAGGTACGTATCTCTCTTTCTCTCGCCTCACCCCTCGACTTCCCACAGTGTGCATCCCCAACACCCGAAGACCACCACCGCCAACACCCACTCTGCGCCCAGCAGCCCGGCTATGGCTGCCTAGCGCTCGCTGCTGCAGCAGCGCCCCTCACCTCTCAGCGCCCGTGCGTGCCCTGGCCAGCACTAGCGCAGCAATGCTTCGCCCAGCAACGCAGCAGCGTGGCCGCATTGCCTGCCTGGCCAGATTCTCCAGGCTGCTGGGTGCTCACCTTCCTGTATGGAAAGTGAGCGCTCCCTTCGGCCTGGCTGGGCCTGGCGTGCACGGGCCCAGCAAGATGCACCCAACCACCCCACGCGGTCTGTGACGTGTTCCCTGCTTTCTGATAGGCCGAGAGGCCTGCTTCCACATCGAAGCTTCCAGGAGCCTGGAAGCTTCCTCGAAGATTCTGATTCTCATGAGCAGGGCTTTTGAAACCAACTGGCGCGCGGCAACTGTCTGGCGCTCAACAACACAGACTGGCAGATTTGGGGCCCCTCTACGATACTCAGGCGTGCCTTCACTTAGGGTGGGCGACATACTTGCTGGGGCCCCCTTAGGTGACTGGAGCCGGCGGACGTGCGGCCTTGTGAGGGCGAAATCCTCACATTTTGCATTGTCAAACGGTACCTGCGTTGGGACTCTCGGAGACTGTGCAAGCGCAGATCTGTGCTCATCTTTCTAACTGCAGTTGGCTCCTCTCTGCTGTGTGCTTAGTCGACTCCGACACACTGTCTCTGATGCGTATTGATTTCTAAGAATATTACTGAATAATGGTTTTCCGGTGACTTGAAAGTTGAAACGCACGACTCTCTGTGTGACCCATCTCTGTTACTTTGTAGTCTGTGGACATCCTGCTGTGTGTGTTCATCTCTTCCTTCTGCTCTCTGTGGGCGACTTCCTACCATGTACAGCTGCACCTACTCCTTCGCCACTGAAGCCGCGGCGTGTCCAACTTGCTCTTTGTCGGACTGATTAAGAGATGCGGTATTCCTCAGTATTATCATATTATGCCACTTGCATGCAACAGTAGGATGGACACGTGGCATGTTCTCATGACTTTTGGATGTTCATAGGGACGCTGGACCCGTTTTCCAGAAGGTGCTGCTCCCCACCAATAGATGGAGCCTCCCCAAGCATGCTAGAGGCATCTGCTCTTATCTTTTTTTATTTTTTATTTTTTATTTATTTATTTATTTATTTATATTTTTTTCTTTTTTGCGTCTGCTCTTATCAGCGCCCCTAGCATTCACCCGGGCTGTTAAAAAAAAAAAAAAAAAAAAAAAAAAGGGACTTCATCTGTAGAGGATCAGGATTTCTACTTCCCATACCCGTAAGTTGCCATTTTGGCATTTTCTCTTCCGGTTCCCTTTTTCCGTGCACTTTGGGATTTTTTTTCGCTCTTATTATTATTATTATTATTATTATTATTATTTTCTTAAGACTACCTAAAACCCTGAGGTCCGGCGCATGCCTGCTCCTATATCTCGACGTATTCTACCCAAAGACATTTCTTAAACCCTAAACCCCTGGGTTCCGGCGCATGCCTGCTCCTCTCAGCTGTGAGGCGGTCCCCTTGGCTTGATTAACGAGAGCAGGGTGAAGTGCTTGGGATGCCGTGAGGGTTTTTCCTTCGTACTCTTCGCTTCTTGGGTTCCTTGATTCCGTCGGTGTCTCAGATGCTGGCAAGACAAGAGCCTGTCTCTCTTGCGTCTGAAAATGTCTGAGAGACGACTGACACACAGTCGTCGTGGAGCTGTTGGCCCGTCGATGTTCCCCAGGCGAGTCTGCGAGTGTTGCCCATTATGGTCCCCAACTTGCCATTACCCAGTACTTCCTTTTTGAATCTTTTTTTTTTTTTTTTTTTTTTTTTTTTTTGGCTCGCCACCTTTTTGAATCTGTCAATGGTGTCTTGGTTAAGTTTGCTTTGTGTTTTTCAGTAGCATGCTGAGAAAGGAAAGTTGTGTCAGAGTTGACTACCATATGTAACAGATCGTTGTCCCGACAATGATCCACAATCGTCCACCTTCGTCGTCGTTCGATCTCCGAATTTCTGAGCGAATGCGGGCAATGTCTTATGTCTCTTTGTGTGTAACATGGCATGTTTGCAGGTTTGCATTCTCTGCAATGACTGTAGCGCCAGAAGTAATGTGAACTTCCATATTCTTGGTCACAAGTGCTCGACTTGTGGATCTTACAACACACGGCGTGTGGCCGGGTCGGATCATTAAATTGGAAGGACTTATGGCCAAGTAGACTCAGCAAAGAAGCAGACCTTTTCTGTGCTTGATCAAGGGTATTATATATTTAGGCATTCGAACGTCGAAATTATTTCTTTGACTCTTTTCCATGCCCACGTCTTCCCCACCATTTCACCTCTTCCCTATTTTTCCCTGATCGCGGTGCTGTGCTATCACCTCTTTGTCAGGAGTCAGGACTTAACACTGCTACGGTTTATCTGTTGTCGAGCTGCTGCCGCCGCTGCTCGTTGGAAGCTCTTTTCTTTTCTTTTCTTCTCTCTTTTTCCCTCCTATCTTCTCTCTTCTTTTCTCTTCTCTTCTCTTCTCTTCTCTTCTCCTCTTCTCTCTTCTTCCCTCTTCTTCTCTTTTCGTGCTACCTATCAAGTAACATGTTGTGATCCTCTACTATGATTGTTCTGCGTGTCTTTCGCTCCTTTCTCTTGAAAGGTTGGAAGCATGAGGAAAAGGTGGTTGGTGGTGGATTTCAAATGTAGTTCTTGCCGGTAGCACAGCTGCAGCGCACTGCAGTGGTTTGCTGTTCACAGATACTGACCGAATGGCCGTGCATGCAATGGCCGTGCATGCAGATAGACTGTGAGTTGTTCATCATTGTTGTGGATGGTTATGGCTCACCTTGGCCTATTCATTGCATATGAGTTTGAGTCGACACACTGATGTCCCTTAGGGGATGATTAGCCCTGAAGTCTTTGAGACCTTGGAAATCATGCAAATCATACATAGTGAACTACCCCATAGGAAAAGGTGGTGGAGAGGGGCATAAAGTGCAAGCGTGCATATGCATGTGTGTGAGACAAACATAGCAACAGATCAGGGTATGTGTGTGCAAAAGAGAGAGAGAGAGAGAGAGAGAGAGAGAGAGAGAGAGAGTTTCCCAAAGAGTCAATTATTCATTGCATGCTGGCATGCTTGTGCATTGTGAGCTTGGAAGGGGGTGGGAGGGTGTGGATGGGTGGGTGGATAGGTGTGGGGGTTTGCGAGAGAGAGAGAGAGAGAGAGAGGAGTTAATTATGTCGTGCATGTTTGTCCACCACAGCCTTTCTTCCCAAGGTTATGTAATGGCGAGAGGTGAGGTGGAAAGCGAGGGAGATACTGCGTGTGTGTGTGTGTGTGTGTGTGTGTGTGTGTGTGTGTGTGTGTGTGTGTGTGTGTGTGTGTGTGTGTGNGAGAGAGAGAGAGAGAGAGAGAGAGAGAGAGAGAGAGAGAGAGAGAGAGAGAGAGAGAGAGAGAGAGAGAGAGAGAAGTGGCACGCAGAGGCAGGATGGCATTGCAAGGCTTTCTGTATATAATCTCACACCTCGGATTTGCCACGCAGACACAATTACCTATTTGTTTATATGGTATGGTACGTGTAGATGGTCCAGCTTTGCTGGATGCATAAGGCTGGCAAATGGCTCAGTAAGAAAGCACAGCTGGTTACAGCAGCCTCTGTCATCAGATGGTGATGAATCTCCTGTTGTAGATATCTCTGACATCTTTTTCCCTTTTTCTTTTGGAGTGCAGAGTAGAATATCCACTGGGTTGGAAATTGACTCACAAGGTAGAAATCAGGGTGGCTAAAGGTGGCTAAAGGTCTAGCAGTCGAACAATCATTGAGGCTGATCAAATATGTTATTCACCATACACAAGGTAGAAATCAGGGTTGTGCAGTTTGCCTTGTGAAATGGTGGAATTTGCCACAGCTTGGCAGCAGCTTTGGGGTAACACTGATATGTGCTTACTGTTTTCGTTTCTGGCCACGACTCACGAGCCATTTCATACTTAACCATTATATCATTAACCATTATCTGTATTGAAGGTGTTCTATCTTTTACTTTCTAGTTATTTGAACTTATTTCCTATGTTGGGCAGTCGCCCGGCCCGGCCCCGGCCCAGCATGCGCGGCCAGGCACGGCCGGACCAGTTGGGCAGAGTGGGGGTCGCCCGGCAAAACCAGACGGGTCAAAAAAGAGGCAAGGATCCCCCCGCACCCCATAAAAAAGACTTCAGGCCAGGACTGTGCTTAGCCTAAGCAGTCAGAATCCGGTCTCAACTCTGGTTTTGGTGATGGGTCATCCAGGGGGGGGGGTTGGGGGGTATAAACAGTGACCAAAAAGGTACATTTGGACTTCATGTTTTCTCATTTATTTTTTATCTCAAAATTAACGAGGAATTTCCAGGTGACCCTCAGCCAAAAGTCGTTTGTATTGCAATTTTACACAACATATTTTTTTCGGATTTTTTTTTTTTTTCGTTTCTATTTTTTTTTAAATATGATGCGCTGGGATGGCCCGGGATCTTGCCCAGGCCGCCTGGGAGGGTACCCCGGCCGCCCGGGGACTAACGCATGTTTTTTTTTAACTTTTTTGGCCTTTCTTCATCCGTTACGGGCCTATGAATCCTGTTTTATGTGGAGCTCCCTGTATGGCCTTTTTTAAAGTCTTTTGGCGTTTCGTCCCTGTATGGCCTTTTTTTTTTGAAGTCCTGGCGTTTCGTCATCTATTCCTGATCCTACCAGTTATATGCATTTATTTACTTATGCATTCCTCTGGGATGAATGATCTCTCGTGTTTCTTGCTGGCCTTGTCCTCTAGATCACCTGGCACCACCCCAGGTGTTATTTAAAAAAAAAAAAAAAAAAAAAGATCACCTGGCACCACCATAATCATGCTTGCTGTAGTGAAATAAGTTTGGGCCAATGCAACCAGAAGTTTCCTATCGGCATATGCCACTCTATCACATGGTTCCTGTCTCCCTTGCCCCCCAGCCCCCCCCCCTCTAGGATTGCAGCGCCGGTGTAAGTAAGTCAACCATTTTTCTCCAGGGTATATTAACTCTGTGCAATGTGGTGAGAGCCGGTGAAAGCCCGACGAAACAGTCTGGTGCAGTCATGATTTCATTTGTGGAGTTGTGTATAGCAAGCATTAGGACACACTCACACAAAGTCGGACGAGACAGGGCCTTGCTGCACTACTCTTGACATGCACAAAAGACAAAAATATTGGTGGTACATCTTTTCATATTCTAGCGGAAGATTCACTCTCGTTTTGCACATTTCGAGAGTAGTGCAGCGACGCCCACAGTCTGGCACGGTCGTGCTTTTTTTGTGGAGCGGTGTAGAGCGAACACGACAATGCACAGACACGACGCTTGACGATACAGTCTGGGGCGTAGTCGTGCGTTCTTTTTGCGGAGTTATGTATAGCGAATGTCCGACGAGACAGTCTGGCACGGTCATGCTTTTTTTGCGGAGCTGTGTAGAGCGAACATGACAACACACAGAAATGACGTCTGACGAAACAGTCTGGCATAGTCGCGTTTTCTTTTTGCGGAGTTATGTATAGAGAACATGGCAACACACACACACACACACACACACACACACACACACACACACACACACACATGCACAGAGTCGATGACCAGTTTTCTCTCTTTGGGGTACAACTATGGGTGGCATGGTGAGTCGTTACCCATCGATTGAATGCATCCTGGGCAGACTGTCTGTCCAGGTTCAACCTCCTGAGGAGTTGGCGAAAGCCCGGAAAAAAACAGTCTGGCACAGTTGTGCTTTTTCTTTTTGTGGACTTGTGTATAGCAAACATGACAACACAACACAGCCTTGCTAAGCCCTCTCTGTTCAGGTGGATCCATGTGGCCAGGGTCAGGGCTGTACTAGTGGGCATGCCAGTGGGTATCCATGTGACAGACTAGTTTCTCAGAGTTACTGCCATTCCTGTCTGGGATCTGGATCGACAGTCTGCTAGGATTGCAGGGTTGCTGAGAGAAAAGACGACCACTTTTCTCTCTTAAAGTTTGGGGTATCGCTGACTATCTGGGTGACGTGGTGAGTCTATTGTCTAGCTAACTTAGTGCCATTTGATGAGTAACCAAAAATAAAGGAGAAGGATATAAGAAAAAAAAAGTGATAAAAAAGAGAGTAATAGCAAGCAATAAAGATTTTTCACGATCCAAATGCCTAGTGGCATGATCAAAGCGGATGATCGTAAACTAATGAGAACTTGTCTATGGGGTATCGCGAACTATCTGGGTGATGTGGTGCGTCCTTATCTATCCGTCAAATGCATCCTGGGCACACTGTGCGGCCCGGGTTGAGCCTCCGGACGAGTCGTTGAAAGTCCGTTGAAAGTCCGACGAAACAGTCTGGCGGCACGGTCATGGGTTTTCTTTTGTAGAGTTGTATAGAGCGAACATGACAACACAGCCCGTCCGGAGACGATCTCTCTCGCCGGAACGCGTGCTACAGTCAATGTAGTCGATATAGCCGGAGGAACCTCGACAGAAACAAACGGCAATGAACTCCCCGCCGGGCAACCTGCAGAATCAAATGATCTCATTGTACAAAAGCAAGGCCACTGTGAGTACACTATGTTATTATTGTACAAAAAGTGAGGCCAATGTGAGTACTACTTCATTTATGAATATCTCCTTGGAGTCCTCGCTTACGATTGCAACCCCTATGCTGCTTCTGATTTGGCAGACATTGTCCACTGGATAGAAGAAGAGCACCATTCTGTCTGCCCGGAGGATGACAGTACTGCACCTGGTGTGAACATAGCAGTCCTGTCTATGGCATATATGGGAAGATGGTTACCACTCCAACCCACTCCACAGAACTACATGCCAGAGACGGACTGGAATATTTGCGCATACATCTTGCATGTCCAGGTCATTTTGGTGCTGTTGCCTTCGCAGCTAATTCATGGTCCCTATCGGACGATGGGGGTAGGAGAGGGTGCACATCGGAAATATTAACTCTTTCTATCCCCAGGCGGTAGAATCTTATTCGGTCTGGCTGGTCGGTCAATCAGGAACAGTGCGTGGATGTGCGCACTCACAAGCTCTACACCCTCCGGAGAGCAATCCAGCTGCACCATCCCCGGCCCCTGTACATGGCCAAGCAGTGTCCCTTCCCTGTGCAGAGTTAGACTCTACCACAGAACAGTGAAGGGGCCTCTGCAGAGGATGCTGGTCGTGCCATGCCGTTGTGTCTCCACACAGCTACGGCTCCGGTAGCATGCACAAGGAATATAGGCTCTGCTCCAAACACTTTGAAGGGATGGTCATTGCCAGCCACTGCCGTGAAAACTGTGACCCATTGTCTTGCACTTATTCCCCCCCCATTCCCTTATTACGGGCCCGATATGCCGTTGTGGCCTCGACATGCCATGTCTAAAAATAGCTGCGAATGTCAGCCTGCTTTCCTGCTGACATGTCAGCAACATGCCATGGAATAGAAAGTATGCGTCTCGACTGCGTAAGTTATCTCCGATGTCATCACCCACCTGATTCATCCTCTCCTAGCATGTCCCACATGCAGCGTTGGGCGTACACCTGCTGCGACTGCAGTCAGATCTCCTCCATCCTTGCCAGACTAAGTAACAGACACAGCAGGCTGAGGAGGAAAATGGACTCTCCCATGAACCACCTACAGACAGACTGCTGTACTGAAAGGTTATTATCACACAGCCAGAGCGAGCTATTGAAGACCAAATCTTGCAACAGCTAAACACCCTTACTTTGGGTTAGTCCTTGTCGTTACCTACCAATCGAGAAGGAATAATGACTGCAGAAACCCAAGAAACTTGCTTAATGGCGCTCTGCGATGGCTCGCCCGAGGTTCGGCTAATATGTAATTTGCATGCTTTGTGTCGTGAGGATCGAGGCACAGCCCTGAGCCCATGCAAGTATTTGTTTCCATACGTATGATGACAGTCAACGTTGCACTTGCTCATCTACGGCACCCTGGCATGGCACAGTGGCCGGAACGGCAATGCTTGTACAATTGCGGTTGGCGAGCCTCTGTGTTGCTAGCATGTAGGAAACCGCACAGGCTGTGGCATCTGTCTACGCCGTGCCATTCGACGCAGCAACTGCAACTAGGAGAATTGGATGCGGTGCGTCCACAGTCCGGACCCGAACCAGTCCTGTGCAATCTGTAGGGGTGAGCACTTACCATAGCTTGAGAACAGTCGAAGGGGCTGAGCTCAGTCCGATCGTGTTTGTGCTCGCATCCCGCTAAGTGTGACGGTCAGATGAGGTGAAGTTTCGACAGCATCATTATTCACGATTCACTGAAGTGTGACGGTCAGATGAGGTGAAGTTTCGACAGCATCATTATTCACGATTCACTGACATGATGCGGCGACATCCAGGCCTCGCTTGCTCATACATACTTACCATGGGCAATGATTGCTTGTCAACTCAAAATCTCCTGCAAGCCAAACACCGACTGACCTCTTCTGCCATTCTAGAGTAGTTCGCTCCAGCAGTGAGTATTGAGGACCCCCTGAAGTTTGTCTCTCCTCTGTTCTGTTCTTTGCCCCTCCACTTCCTTCCTCTCCTTCCCCCTTCTCCCTCCCCTACCCCTCGCTTCCTCTAGACCTCCACCTTCCACGCCTTTCCTCCCCCCCTCCTGCATAGAAATCAGCGTCGTACGAGAACAGACAAAATATAGACTGAAGATCTGAAGAAAAGTTAACGGGAGCATACCTCCCGCTCTACTCTGCCCCCTTTCATAGCGTGCAAGTGGGCCATTATGGCACATGGTGATGTGGGCAGCTTGCGCTAAACCACTGTCAACATGGCCAGCCTCATAAATGGGAGGCACAGTACAAAGGGAGCTGCAAGGAGAAGTAAAAGGGGTGCCCCCAAAGAAAGCCAAAGTAAAGATGGTCAGGAAAGGGACATAATGAATCTATTCTGCCCCCAGTTGCTTGCTATAGACGTTAAGTTTTTTTCAGTGCTAAATAGGCTCGTCTCAAAGTCTGATTTATTGTCTGCAAGCGGGGTGAAGCTGCTTTGATTTTGGATCTACTCATCTGGGTGGGACAGGGGCTGTTGTGGTCTCACACAAACACACATACACACACACACACACACACACACACACACACAGTGTGCCGCGGAAGCGGCAGACAGGTGTGTGGGCACTTCCT